CCTCCTTTTGACCCTTTTCACAGAAGGCAGATGACTGACCAGCCTTCCTCGGTTTGGTGGCCTCAATGGGGTGCAGATCTTTGAGACACAGGAAACTTATTTGTTCCTTTCTGGGGAGGGGAAACAGTGTCTTTGGAATAGTGACTGTCACCATTCCCACCAAAGGAGGGACAGAAGTGCTGGTTTAACCTCTGGCAGGACATTAGCCACACATGCACACTAAAATGTTTACTGTGGGTTTCTCTGGCTGGTAAGATTAGGGATGATTTTCACTTCTTTTTATTCCATAGTATTGAATGGCTATTTTAGGATGAACACATTTATATGACTTGTAAAGATCCCTTTTCATTTTGAAAAATGAAAAACCTCTTCTCAAGGATATTGGAATTGAACACCTTTTTCCAGGTACATTTGGTTCTTAGTGTGAAGCCATAGATGCCTGTATTGTCTCCTGTGGTTTCAGGGTCCTTTGGATCCCTAGAAATCAAATTCAAAAGCTTACATATGCAGTCCTCTTTCAGGGGTGAAGATCAGTAGCTTTTATCAGATTCTCAAAAGCGAGACAGAGGGGATCTAGACCCTGAGATAGTTAAGGAGGCAGAGATTCTTTCCACAGTTTTTTTTTGTTTTTTTTGTTTTTTGGTGGGGGTGCTGTTCTGGACTCTGCGAGGTCTAGTTTCTGCCATGATTTGGAGTCCTTGGTGCTTGCATCATGTAACCCAAAGGACCCTGTTAGGTCAAGGCCAGTTGTCAGTGACCCCAGAGGAGTGTGAGGTTTCCTGGCCCCCTGAGAGGCTGAATGTGGGCTCAGGCCACAGTGAGACCCCTGCCCCTGTACTCTGGCAATCCTGTGGGCTTGGGTGTCGGTGGCAGATATCAGAGGGAGGGGTGGGGCAGGGAGGAGATAAGAGCTTGGGAACAGCCTAGGGTAGGAGCTGAGCCCCCAACCCTGTTACTCATCCCTCTTGTGGTTTCCTGGCTCTGAATGGGACCAGCCTTATCACTGGCACCAAAATCACTTACTAGATTCTTGCCTGACAGTGGTTCACCATGAGGCAACAAGAGTGAGGATGAAGAATGGCTGAGAATGAGGACAGCCTGGCCAGTGTAGCTCAGTTGTTTGGGCGCCATCCTGTGCACCAGAAAGTCGCAGGTTCAATTCTTGTTCAGGACACATGCCCAGGTTGTGGGCTTGATCCCCAGTAGGGGGCGTGAAGGAGGCAGCCAATTAATAACTCTCATCAATGTTTTTATTTTTCTCTCCCTCTCCCTTCCTCTCTCTGAAATCAATTTTTAAAAAACATATTAAAATAACAAACAAACAGTGAGGATAACAAGAAAGGTTGGTGTCGTATTGTGGCCCAAAGTGGGTAGACCAAAAAGGGAACCATGGATCCAGCTGATCCCTCTTGTCTGTGTAAAACCACGTCTCTCAACGTGTACAGATGGGGACGTGATTTTTCACATTTTTCCTGTAAGCATGATTTCTACCCCTGCCTTTAAAAAAAAATGTCTGAAGGCAAATACCGAAACTGTGGGCTCTGGTGCTGTGGTTCTGGTTTATATTTGAGAATTACACACACGTTTTTATATTCGGTGCACGGTAGAGGCAGATTGGGCATTTAAGGCAACTTAGTGGATTGAAGAGCACCGAGGGAATTGTGGGAATTGCCTGTTAGAACAAATCATTATTCCTTGGCAGGCCAGTGATGGAGAGAAAATTGAAGAGCCCCTGGATTACTGGGGGGGAGAAATCAGAGAAATCAGGTGACAACACTAGGGCTCATTTTACAGATGAAGGAAATGATGCAGAGCGAAGCAGGAATGCTTGCGGGAGGTCCTGCAGCTAGGAAGTAACTGAGCCAGCGCTTGATCTCAGGTCTTTGTGACTCTGACCCCCAGCCCCACACTGCCTTCCTGCATTCAGAACCATGGACAGCTATGGCACAGGGGTGACAAGACAGATTTTAATGGGCCCTGGAAAAGAGGAGTCCCAGGGAAGAGGTGACTACAAACCCCTAGGGAGGCAACCAGCCCAGGGCTGAGATCCCACCAAGGGAGAGGCAAGCCCTGGAGCCAGGAAGATAAAAAGCAGATGGTGGGGCCCCACATTGGTCCCATGAGGTTCTTTGCTGGTGCAGTCAGTGGTGTGACTTGGGGGCCAGCTGAGCCCAGAGTGATGAGCCAGCGCATTAGCCCAATCATGCTTGCCTTCACTGGACACCTATGGATCACCAGCACCTAACTTTAACCTGCCATGGAGTCTGTGTAAGCAGACGATGGGCTGACTAAACAACATGAGCAGGTACAGCGGCAGGCAGCTTGAGGCATGGATGGCAGGAATCGGGTTTGGAGGCCGCCTAACCCCCTGTAAAACCGACTCTTCCATGGGGGAAGCCTCTCTTACCTGGAAGGAGCCTCTATTGGCACAGTTGGCTAGTGTCAGGTCCCCATCCCTGGAGCAGCCAGCAGGGCAAGAACAGGGTCCTGGAGGAGCAGCATGACAACCCCACCACACTATGAGGTTGGCCTGGGGGAGGAGCCACTCCGCAGGAGGAAAGGCACCTCCGCGGCGGGGGCCTCTGTGGTGCTCTGTCAAAGTCAGTTCTGAGGCACCTGTAAAGGGCTTGCATACAGCAGGCTCTTAAGGCTAGAGCTGGTGGAAGGAGGCCAGGTGTGCAGCTAGCTTGTTGTCCTCTGCCCTGGCAGACCCTGACATGGGGAGGTGAGCTAGAGACCACGGGCCCTGGCTCGGTGCCCTGGAGGAAAGGCGCTGACCCATCTCTGTACAAGTCTAAATGACTCCCAGCTAATGAGCTGGCTGTAGACACCCGGTTATAACGTTACCTGCCGACCCTGTGGATCACTGAGTTTGGGGAAGTAACTAAGGTGGCCTGAGGCCTAAGGCCAGGTGGAGGCTTGTGGGCTAGGGGCCTGTGCCGGTAAGTTACAATCTGACCCTGACCTGGCATCCTTTCTCTCCTTTTCTCTATTCCCTGGTGACCATCAATCCAATAAAATAAAATTAAAATTAAAAGAAGCAAATCATCATTAGATGAAACACCTTCCAGATGTGTTCATAGTGCTGGATCCTGAGCCAAGACTTGTTGATAGGTCAGCTTTTGCCCAAGGCTGTTACTGGCTATTCTCTCGAGCTGACTTCCCAGTGTTTCCTTTATACCCTAGTCTGTACCGCACCATCCCTGGACCTGTGCCCCCAAACCAGCAGCCAGGGCGTGCGGAGGCACTGTGACTAAGAAGGCCATTTCCCTCGCAAGGGTCATATGCTTCCTGCTCCCCTTTTTTATTATTTAATATCTTACCACCTTCCCCAACTAGATTGTAAGCCTCGGGAGGGCAGAGACCTTATTCTTATCCTCTGAAGAATTCCCAGCAGATGCTCAATAAGTGTTGGATGGGTGGATGAAAGCTGCATAAATATCAGGCCCAGGAGGTTAGCAGGCCTGGGCTTACAGGCTGTGGGACCCCAGGCCAGCCGCTTGACCTCCCTCTGCCTGATGTCCATTGCCTGGCTGATGTCCACTCTTCCTATGATGGAATCGGAAGCTGGCAGAAGTAGTTCTGGCCAGTTTGGCTTGTGTGCTAGTCAGAGCTACAGGAGTGTTTGCTAACGATGCACATGGATTCATCCTTGTGCACTGGGAAAGGCGGGAGTGGGCAGAGAGGGGAGGGGGCCTGTGGGAAACAGCTCCTGATTATTTACTCGTGATTCTAAGAAGTGTACTCATTGCTTTTACGAGTGAGGGAGCCCAAGGAACTGCTTTAGAGGTAATGCTCTCAGCCATTTCTTTGACGTTGACATCCCATTGGCATCTTTATACAAGAAGATTGTAGATATGCCGACGGAATGAAAGTAATTGTAGATGAGATGAGCAGGTAAAGCAGCTGCAAATGAGAGACTCATATGTACAGGTGGCTCATGGAAATCTGCTTGGAAATCACACCACGGAGAAATTGCATGCCTATTGGTACTGAGTTAATTATCAATAAAGACATCTCCTATTCTGTTATTCAGGTTGGCCATGGTGGTTCAGTGGTCCCAGAGCCTTACCTAGATTCATGGGTTTTTTTACACCTACATAATGAAACTCGTTATTCATTGATTTGCCTGCCTACTGTCTCTTCTGATGCCCCCACGGTCCCTTTTGCTTGCCTGATGACATCTGAGCTGTTGTCATCTGCTTGGGTTCAGCCCTCATTGCCCCACAGAGTGGCTGGAGGAGCTGAGGACCTGGGCAAGGTTGGCCAGGAGAAGCAGTGTCCTGGAGCCCCAGGCCCTGGCCTGGGAGAGCTAATGCGGCAGGCGTCGCAGCAGCCGGGGCAGGGGCAGCCTTCAGCTCGGGGTCTGCTCCTTTGGGCTCCCTGCACGTCAGCCCTGGTGGGGCTATCTGGCCCAGGCTTCCAAGGGTGTCTTGAGCCAGCTTTTTGCCCACGCTGCACAACCCTTCTCTCCTCTTCCCCGTGTAGCCAGCTTCATTTCAGCCTTCCAGGCCTAGCATGGGTGTTTTCTTAAGGAAGCTGCTTGACGGTCCCCACCCCAGGCTGCTCAGGTAACCCCTCCCTCAGTGCTCTCATGTGAGAATTCAAGGAGTATTTCACCCAAAGCATGGGGCACAGTGCCTGGCTCAGAGCATCAGCTCAACAAGCATGTGTTAGGAAGGAGGTCATCAGTTTGAATGAAGTTAGTGTGTAAGTTATTCCTTCACCACCATGAGTGAGGCCCCTTTCTGTGGGGTGGCCCACTGGTGTTGCATAATTATTAGTGAGGAGAGGACCCTGGCATCAGGAAAGAGGCAAGGCACAGCGGGGGCTCAAGAAACAGTTCCTGGAGGGGAAGCTGACTTCTTGCTACACTAAAGTCTATGCTGAGGGAAAGGATAGTTACTCAAGGTGAAATCCAGCCACACTCTGTGCCCCTCCAGCTGGCCCAGTGTCCCCTGTGACTGTGTGTGTCGTGACCTGCTTAACTTTCCTTGCAGTCCACCTGATCCCGATGTCGATAGCTAAGAATGGAGTGAGTAGCAAGAGTCGAAAGAGAATCATGCCCGACCCCGTGACGGAGCCCCCTGGGACGGACCCGGTGTACGAAGCTCTCTTGTACTGCAACATCCCCAGTGTGGCCGAGCGCAGCATGGAAGGTAGGCCTGCCTGCGCTGCCCAGCTTGGTACCGGGATGGACACCCCTCTGGGGACTGGTCCTTCCTCAAGCAGCTCAGGTGGTGGTGAGGAGCTCCCGGGCCCGGGTGCAATTCCTGCGCCTGCCACTAAGCTGTGTCCTTGAATGAGTTCCCTAGTCTCAGCTTCCTCCCCTCTAAGGCATCACCCCCAGCTGTTCCAAGTAGGCTCCCTGGGGGCTTAGGATGTTCTGCTGGTGCCTTGCAGGAAAGGTGTGGGGAAATATGATTTCTGCATTGAATTTTGCTTTTCTTAGAGTGTATCAAAGAATGGTGTTGAATCTGTTTGTGCCATGCCTTGTTCATGAGAGATTTGAAGCAGAAGTCATGTGCCCAGTATTTCTGCGGGCCTTCCCTAGTCTGTGGATGTGAGTGAAGCCACAGGAATATTCCTGGCCACACTTCACTGGCCTCCAGCCTCCAGCCACACCCCAAGAGCCTCCCCAGTACTTCTCATGTTCCCCAGAACATACCAGCCCTCTCATGTTCCTCTGCCCTGCCTGAGGGCCTATTCAGAGGCCCCCCACCCCCACCTCTAGCACGGCACCTTTCCACCAGCTACCCCTCCTCACTTCTGTGACGTGAAAAGGATTGATACTTACTGGTGATAGCAATACAATGTCTCTGTCTGTCTCTCTTTCTGTCCATCTGTCTCTTGCAGGTCACGCTCCACATCATTTTAAGTTGGTCTCAGCGCATGTGTTCATTCGACATGGGGACAGATACCCACTGTATGTCATTCCCAAAACCAAACGACCAGAAATTGACTGCACTCTAGTGGCTAACAGGTAAATTACACTTTCTCTAAAAGTTCCTTTCAAGAATGTTATCTCTGCCCTAGTTAAAATGCTGATGAGACTGACAGGATGCGAGAATGACAGGATGCGGAGTGACTTATCACCGAGTGAGTACTGTTGGCCAGGAGTCTGATCTTCAGAATAATCCTGCATGTAAATGCCATTACACAGTTGAGAAAAACAGAGGCCCAGAGAGGTGAGGACACCTGTGTGAGACCACACAGCAGATAAAGCCCAACCCTGCTGTTCCTCAGTTTGAGAAAGGCTGGGACTTGGTGCATTGAGCACTGGGTTAGGAGTCCTCAGACCTGGCTTGGCTGTTCCATTCAGGGCAACAGGTAAGTTCCTTAGTCTCTCTGAGCCTCAGTCTTCTGTCTCTGAAATGGGGATGACGATGCTGATGCTGGAATAAGTGAGATGAGATAGGAAGGTGAATACTATCGTTTATTTGCAAAGCCATATAAATGGAAGTTACTACTTCAAACATCTACAGAAGTAGAGACAACCTGCTCTTGGTTGAGAGCCCTTAGGATGAAAAATAATTGAAAAGAGTGGAAATGGTGCATATGGAAAGGGCATGGCTATAAAATTGGAGGCACAGTTAGCAATAAAAATGATGGGCCAGGCCTCAGCAAACGTGTCTGGGACACACAACACCCCAGGCAGAATTTGCTGAATGAGGCGAGGAGACAGGGAAGTGCTCAGTGGGGAAGACATCATTTTGATGGAAAGCTTCTGGGTGCCAGCCTGCCCCAGGCAGGTCCAGCCTGGTGGAACCACGGACCACCTCCCTGCAGCCAGGGCTGCTCTTTCAAAGTGGACCGCAGTGTGAACCTGGGAGTTTCAGGTTAACTCTTTGAATCTCGGAGAAGATGAAGTGAACCATCTTTGGTAAAAACATCATGGAATACTGTGTGACTGTAGACTTTCATACATTGTTTCACTTCCTGCTTGAGGTCATGATGCTAGCAATCTGGGTATTTGTGTTTTCTTTTCTATGTTCAGCAAGCGTGGAGGCATGTCCTAGTGTGCCTGGGTTGGAATACACCCTGGTGGAGTCCAGCCTGTGTCAGGATGCCATGCAGACACTAGCTTTCTTCCTCCAGTCTCTAGCCATCTGTGCCAGCATTCCCGTTGGGATCCTCTGCCCCTGCCATGCCCACTTCTTGCTAGCCCCCTTCGCAGCTGCCATTTGGCTTGCTTCCCCCATGCCTGCTCGGCCCACTCCTACAACTCCTCCGAGGCCCCCAGAGATGCTGGCCCCTCTAGGAAACCTCTCCCTGTGTACGAGGATGGGTCCTCTGCTTGTATCAGGCACTGCAAACTGAAAAGGAAGACATATGGAAAGGGTCTTGGAACAAAATATTTAATGATCAGACCTTAACTGGACTGAGGACTAGGACAGGGGTGGAGGTCACTTGCTGTGCTGGGTATTAACTCTTTAGTTTCTGGATCATGGGGATCGGCTGGAGCACCCAGGGTGGCAGGAGGGCAGAGGGCACAGGGTGGGGTGCAGGCAGGACAGCATAGGGAAGTGGTTTTGCTCAATTGGGCACAGCAGAGTTTCTATGTGTTAACAACTGGCACAGTCCTACCTTTGCACGCTGGCTGGATACTCACCCTTTGAACAGCTCTGGCACAGCTAGGCTACTAGACCTGTGAGCTGGCCGGACCCAGGACAGCCTCCAGGGCTTCCTAGACAGTACTCTGCTTCATCCCTGGCTACCTGCAGCTTCTAGTCCTCTTTCTGTATCTGGACTTCAAATTCTTAGAAGTGAGAATTTGAGAGACTAAGATCAGACCAGGGGTCAGCTGTTGCTAGAAGGTCCCTGGGCATTCAAAGCCTCTGGGGGCCACCCTGGTTGTTCCCAGAAAAAGGGCACATTGGGCAGGGCCACCTGGCAGCCTGCAGCCCCCCACCCCACCCCCCGTGCACCCTGGTACTTTTCAGCTTGCCTTCCCAGCATGATTGTCTCTGCCCTCCCCACGCTGCCAGCTTCTCCGGGCATTGGGTCTTACTCCTTCCTGTATCACCCATGCCCAGCTCGAGCCTGGCACATGATAGTTATTGGACATGGTTGGTTGCAGAATGAGTTCAGGACCTAAGTGAGAATCCCAGTCATAATTGTCTATCATGTGCTCCTATCATGTGATCTTGTCAGATTTAAGTCTCGGCATGGAATCCTCTGAGGTCATTGTACCTGTTTGATGTAGGGAAGATCATTTCACCTCTCTGAGCCTCATACCTATTCTACAACCTGGGGATAGTGATTTCTCCCTTCTCACGTCCTTTTGAAGTCTGACTAAGGTGGGAGAGTGAAGCCCTGAGCCTGCTCCATATGAAGAGCTTGATAAGGAGGTGACGTTTCACTTACCACAGCAGCCTGGAGGTCTCCTGAGGCCTAGCCTCTTTCTCCCTGAGTGGCCATGGTCGTGAAGCTGGAACAGGTCCCAGGGCTTCTCGCCCTGTCAGCGATGGCAGTACCCACAGGTGGGGCCGTTTCTGGAGCTCCCGTTGAGAGGCACATTTCTGGAGACCGGCTGCCCTAGCTGCCTCTGCCTTCATTTTCCCTGGCCTCGATCTTGTGGCCTAGTTTTATTTTATCAAACGTTCTGTATTTTTAGGATCTACTTTAAGTCCTTTGTAGAAAGTGGGTGGGGCATGCATGTTTAATTAGTTAATGTCATTTAACTAATTCCACCTTTAAAAACAGTAAATGTTGACCTGTCATTTGTAAGAATGGGCAGACTCCCAGCTATTTTAATCCATTTCAGGCCTCTGGGACTTTGGGATCAAGGTCACCAGCAGTGCCTGTCCCCTCTCCAGGTGCTAGTTGAGCTTCACAAATTATTCATTTCTCTGGCCTCCTAAAGGGCAGTGAGTCCTGGAGTGTGGCCGTCACTTTAGTCTAGTGAAAGGGGATGTCTGGGCCGTGCAATGAGCTGAAGAAGAGGAGCCAGATGTCCATGCAGGCCGGTTGCCCCAGTGCTTCCCTTCACAGTGACACATTGCATGGCTTCCAGAGTCTTTGTAGTGGAAGCTGCATCCTGAATGCCATGTGCCTTGTCACAAAGATGCTCTTTTTACCCTTAGAGGACTATGTTTAGCCATTAGTAAGGTTATTAGCCATTGACAAGCAGTGTTTAGTAAATGCTTTTACTTTTTTGCATTTGTGAATATGAATTGTATACTGTTCTCTACATCCAAAGAGGAAAAGAACATTGATAAATCAGTATTTATTCAATAAATTTTATTTTTAAATGCATGTCGTGTGCCAGGAACTGTCACATGTACCTGGCTCACGTACCAGGAAGTGGCATGTGAGCAGGCACCTAAATGAAGTGAAGGAGCCGGCCCTGTGAGGATCCGGAGGAAGAGGGTTCCAGATGGAGGGAACAGCAAGTGCAGAGGCCTGAGGCCAGGAGAGCTGGGCATGTATGGGTAACAAGAAGACTAGTAGATAGCTGGACTGGAGGAGTGAAGGGGAGAGTGGGTTCCTAAGGATTCGCAGAAGGTAACTGCCCTCAGCGGACCTAGTCACCTTTTGAGAGACAGAGCTGGTGCCTGGCCCACGGTAAGTCCCCAGTAGATGGCAGCCAGCACAGGTTAGCAGCCGCGACAGTATTAGAGACTGAAGTGGAAGAAAAGTGGAAGTAGTTCTGGCAGCATATTTGGAGGTGTGAGCCAGAGGAGGGGCACCTGACTCAGCTGGGGGCAGGGAGGGGAGGTGGAGTGGTAGATCAGGGAAGGCCACCAAGAGAAAGTGACCTAACAGGTGTGCAGGAATAAGTCAGGTAGCAGCTGATGATAAACAGTACCTGGGGCGGTGAGACCTACCTGTGCAAAGGTGTGAGGAGGTGGACAGTTTGAGCGTGGAGTGGAGAGGTGGGTAGGGACTGGGTCATCTGATGCTTTGAATGTCCGGCCATGGGCTTCAGTGGAATCACAGGGCCTATGGATTGAGGGAAAAGCCGAAAACAGAGTCCCGGGAAATGCCAACCTGTAATGGCACAGAGAGAAAGGAGGGTCCCGAGAGGAGGTGGCGAAGTTGTGTCCGGGGAAGGAGGCAGGAGGAGGTTCTGAGACTGGAGAGTTGCAGGAAGCAGGGAGGAGGCTGGCGGTCACATCAAGTAAAGCAGAAGTGTCCAGAAAGCTGAAGGCTGAGGAAAGTATATTGAGTTTATCTTTTCAGAATTTCATTTTACTAGTATTATAACACAATAAGTTATTTAATTAGCCTAAACTCTATAAATCTGTGATATGAACTCATTCGAGTTTTCAGACATGTAAGCTTTTTTGAATTGTTTTCTGATAACAGTGTCACTGGTCTTCTGTCTCTTGTCTGCTTGTCGTAATGTCCTGTGCAGAAGTCAGTAATTGCTCAGGTTATTGCTGGAACGCAATAAATCTTCTAGTGGGTGTGTAGATTAGCCTCGGGGTTCTGTCTCGAGCTTTGTGGCGTATATAGGTATGAACAGTGCATATAGAAATGTAAATGAGAACGCCGAAGTGAGTGGTTTGAAGGCTTAAAATAGCACTTTTGATTCTTTGAATTGTCAATGTTAAAACAGATTTCCAATGAGGCTACAATAGCATGAATTTTTCCTGAAGAAAATTTACTGTCACATATGTAATCATTTCTGTGTTAGGGTGCCAAGAATGCATTGCCTTGAATAGCAAAGAAACCTGTTGCTTCTTTGTGTGAAGATCTGAGATAAATGTTCCAGGTCTAGGACTAGGCTCCTTCTGGTCATTCAAGGCTCCGGGTTCCTTCCATGTGTTGTTCTCCCCATGTCTAGGGATGTCTGCATGACGAACCTGGTCCCTGCCAGGCCTGAACAGTGGCCACAGGGAAGGAAGAGAGTGTGAAGGGGACAGGCAGTAATCGAAAGCCTGAACCCAGAAAGTACACACATCCTTCCACTCCATTGGTGAACACTGAGTCACATGGCTGTCCCTGACCACTAGGACTTCAGAAATGGGATCTAAACAAGTTCCCAAGAAGAGAATAGATTTTAGAGTGCAACTAAGAGAAAAGCCAGAGCCAGACAGTAGTTAAAGCAATAAAAACAGATTTTATTCAGGAACTAATGCAGTAGGGGAAAGGAGATCTCAGTATAGAACTGGGCTCAATTCCAAATACAGCATGGACATGTGAGGATCTATAGCCAAGGAGTAAAGTGGGGGTTAGTGAATGGAAGATTACTAGGAGGTGACATCAGGGGTGAGGGGGTAGTTCTGGCTAAGTCGCCTTGACAGGATTCTTGCTAAAGAATCAGCCCAGAGTGAGCAGAGACCCCCTGGGGATGAGGTATTTGATCAGATATCAAGACTGGGAGATTCTAGCTGGTTAAACCAACTTAGCAGGATTTTTGCTAAAACTGGGAGATACAAAGACAGGTATAAGTCCAGAGGTTAAGGACTGATTAGAAAGAGAGTTCAGAGGAGACTCACTAAAGTTTGGTCAAAGAGAGGCTTTGTCACAATTAGCAGTCTCACCCTCAATGGCCTTTTTAAAAAATATTTCCATCAAAATCTGAACATTTTAATAAATACTTGGAACTTGCCACATTCATTGCTATGGATTACGGCAGATTTGGACTTTTCCCAAAGCATCCAAGGAGGGGGCACTTCCCAGGTGAATTCATTCACATGCCTTTTTGGAGTATCTGCCATGTGCTAGGTCCCCTCTTGGCTCCCGGATAGAGCTGTGGACTAGGCAGGCAGGACTTGGTCATTCAGATCCAGAACAGGCGACCCGGGTTACCCAGTTCTCTTCCTGTTAAAAAGATCCAGCCATTGTTTTCTCTCCCATAAGTGAAGTTTTCCTTCTGTGAATCTTCATCTTGTCCGACCAAAAACAAGTTTCCATGAACACAATTAGAAACAAACACATCATTCCCTCAGATTCCCTGAAAACCCGGGACATCTCAGCAAACACTTTCAGTCGTGAAATTTTGTTTCTAAAATTGGCAGCAACCTGATCCCCCGACATCACCAACCTGAAAGAGTGGCCCAGAGCAGCACATCTGACTCCTGTTGNAAGCACTCAGATTCCCTGAAAACCCGGGACATCTCAGCAAACACTTTCAGTCGTGAAATTTTGTTTCTAAAATTGGCAGCAACCTGATCCCCCGACATCACCAACCTGAAAGAGTGGCCCAGAGCAGCACATCTGACTCCTGTTGATGCGTAACCGTTGCTTATGTGCATTCATATTGGCAGCCTCATTATCATCAGTTGAAAATTTTATTTCCCAGTTTGCAAATATTTATGTATTTTAGCCTCAGGAAAAATAGCTTACCCTGCAGCACTCCAGGGTGAGTTATCAGATTATACTGTATGACACAATTAGCATTCTCTAATTCTAAAACCTATTTTTTAAAAGATAGATTTTTTTTTTTAGCTTTGTGGTTTTGAAAGATATTAAACCTATTTCGACAGCCATTTTTAAAGCATTGTCAATGTTAATTGGGCTTTCAGACAGCAGGAGTCTGCCATTAGAACAATTTCTCTTTGCTTCTTTTCATGCTGATTAGGTTTAGCGGGGAGCTGTTCTATCTATCCACTTCTGTTCAGCTGGAAAATGTATATATATTCATAGGCTATTTCACTATTCAAAGAAAAGGTGTAAATATTCATAAGTCATCTCATTATTCAGAGAAAGTGTGTACATATTCATAGGTCATTTCATTATTCAGAGAAAATATGTATGTATTCATGGGTCATTTCATTATTCAGGGAACTTGTATATTAGTGACTAGAAAGATAAATTAAATCTTGATTTACCACATGTACTCCATGGCAGAAGTATAAAAAAAGTCAGATCTCATAAACATACTGGGGTTTTTTTGCTCCTTGTGACCCCCATGAAATTACATATTGTATGTGCAAAATACACAATGAACTATAGAGAGCTGTAGAGGTCTTGGTTATCTTAATCAGTTAAGTTTCTTCAAAAGAGACTCTCCAGAGGTCAGGTAAGGTAAGGATTAAGGGTTACCCAGGTAAAGGTTGGGGCAGGTTTTCTAGGAGCAAGAGGCAGCATATGGAAAGTCTTGGAAGCGTGAAAGACAAGGTGTGGGAGGGGAACAGAAGTCGGTTGGTGCGCTGCATGTTTCCAAGAGCACAGCATTAGAATAGAGGGAGCTGGGGAGCCCTGAGCCTCAACGTTGATGAAGTGGGACCAGGCACAGGTGGCTCCTTCCAGAAGGTAGCAATGTGGAAGTGTAGTGATGAGTCGGGGTTGCCATTTAAGATCTCTCTGGCAGTGGAGAACACAGATTAGAGGGGCAAGATTAGATTGCAGGTAGTCCAGAGAGGAACTTGTGTCATCCAGACGGAAGCTGTCTGAGCCAGAACCCTGCTAGTGGCTGCAGGGATGCAGGAGAGAAGTGTGAAGCCCCTGAAGGACACATCTGCAGGATTGGAAGTCAGGTGTGTAGGGGCAGGGGAGGGACAAATCAAGGACTGCCAGCCTAGGCATGATTGTCTGGTGAGGGTCAGTGGCCTCCTGGAGAGGGAGACTGGAGGAGCACAGGTTGGGAACCGGGTGGTGCAGTGCAAAGCCGACTCCCAGAGTGACAAACACTGCAGCAGAGGAGAGGAGCTCAGGCTGGCCTTTCAGAGTGGGGGTTGCTGTGTATAGGGGTCAGTGGTTGAGTGATAACAATATTGGAATTTAAGAGTGATTGAGTGATTACCTATTGTAGGGGAGAAAGGGCAAACCACACTTGAGACTTTGTTTGCTGAAGTTGGAAACCCTTGCAGATTGCTTTGGAGCACGCTGACCTCTAAATCTCTGTGTTGTCTCTTTAGGAAACCATATCACCCGAAACTGGAAGCTTTCGTTAGTCACATGTCCAAAGGATCTGGAGCCTCTTTCGAAAGCCCCTTACACTCCCTGCCTCTTTTCCCCAATCACCCGCTCTGTGAGATGGGAGAGCTCACACAGACAGGTACGTGTGACAGCCATTCGCTCACCTGTTCTCCCCCACTTCCATTTGGCACACATTTCAAGCCAGTACTCCTGGGCAAGGCGCTGTGGGCCCATGGGGTAAATACGGACTGGTACCTCAAGCAGCTCTGAGTCTACCAACATAGCTAATTAAATGTCTGATTTCTAAAAATTAAAAAACAAAACAAAACATTTTTGTTATTACGAAAGCAATGTATATTCATGGAAGAGAAATTAGGAAATACAGTTAAGCAAAAGGAAAAATAACACCCCTAATCCCAACAAAGAAATCAGTTCTCATGCTTTCTGTGTTCATGCATGTGCTCCCATTTGTGCGCACACGCATACATGCCTGCACACGCACACACGCACACAGTGGTACTTACTAAACACACTATTTTGTTACCCACTTTTTCACTTAGTATATTGTGATCACCTTTCCCTATTCATCAACACCACCGTTTCTGATGGCTACATATTGTTCCACTATGGATGGGCCATAATTTATACAATTCATCCCATGTTCTTAGATACTTCAAGCAAGTCACCTGATGAGTTTCAATGGGCCAGGCCTCAGGGGGAAGCACATGGCAGATCCCCACTGAGCGAGGAGTCTGTTTGGTCAAGTGTGTTCCCCACAGAAAGCCATCTTTTCCTCAGTGGCCCTATTTGTGTCGTAGTACAGCCAGTTCGTAGGGTAGGTTGGTGAGTTAATTATGGGGTCACCTGTGTTGGGAAGAGAAAGAACTGGTGGACCCTCAAGAGGTCCCAGTTTCCTACTTCTTCAGTCTGGGACCACAAAGCACCTTTGCTTGGTCAGCAGCCTTGGGAAGCATCGGGAGGACCCTTTGGCCATGCTCTGTTTCCTTGTTCCACCGGCATCGTAGGACCTCAGCTTTGATGGAAGGAAAGCCCCTGTCCTATAGTTGGCCCTGTTGGGTTTCACCATGTTTTGAAAGCCATTATTACTGAGGAGAATGACAGTGAGTGACAGAGTGGGGCAAGCTGGAAGCTCTGGAGGGCCAGCCTTAAGTGAGGAGTTTTGTCCAAAGCTTCTGATAGTTAGTACCACATACACAACTTCTGCACTGGTTTAAAACAGGAGTGCTCGTCCTACCAGATCCAGCACCCCTTTTATTAACAAGTTAAGGCGCTCCCTTAACTATCCTGAAGTGAAATTCAAATATAATCTTTCTAGATACATAATTAAAAATTATATCAGGTACCCTAACTATACGATAAAGGAGGAAAATAGGAAACAAATTTATTATAGAATTCTTTGTACCTCGGTATAAATGCTTGCACACACCCACACTAGAAAATGGAATGACACAATCAGTTGCTTATACATAAATGTAGTTTGGGGACTGTGACAGCTACCAATACAGACTGACTGAGGGATGTGGAATGGTGACTTTAATAAGTGTCGGAACATGTTTGTTTGGTTTTTGTTTTTTTACAAGTTCTGATCGAAACAAAATATACATGTTCCTCGATTAATGTCACATTTCTGGGAAATTCACTGGATGTTAATGTTATGCAAAAATGACTGTGTTTATAGATTTTTAAAAAGCAGGTTCTAGGCTATTTAAATGGATTTTTTGCATGTGGAAATGTCTTATGGTATATTCAGAAGTTATATGGGACTGAGAACATTTCCTTGTGAAGACTGTCCAGCCCTCTGGCCACCACCCACTGGGTGTCAGAAACATTATTTCCGCTATTACTGTGACAGTACAACCTCCAAACCCTCCCTGCGGGCAGAACCCTACTTGCTGAGAACCACTGCTTAGACTACAGTTGCAAATAACAGAAACCAACGCAGGCCAAAAGGGGACGTTTATTGTAAGGATTCACAGTGACTCATAGACTGTAAGGGCAAGAATATGACCAGGCCTCCAGAGACTGGAGCTAAGAATGGAAAAGCTACCTGTCACTGCCTCTGGTTTTTCTGTGTCTGTGATAGTCCTAGCCACACCCACAGATGGACTGGCAAGTCCAGATTCTTGAAAGAGAGAATCTGATGGGGTCCTTGAAGGTCAGTGCCATCATCTGGTTCAGAGGGCAGGGTGACAGTGCATGGAGAGTGGGGTTTAGCCTCTGGATCCAGGGCCTGTTCCCTGAGAAGGGTGGGCTCTGTGTGTATAGGGGGGCTCACACACTTAGAGACAATCATCCATTCTCACCTTTCTCCTTACTGATTTATTATCATCATCATATTCTAAATCAATATTACTCTAAAAATTATTTTTGCAGTATTGTTTGCTCCCATTCCCTTATTCTCTTTTAATGGCCAATTCTGTCTTCTATTTTAAATTTTGTTTTAAAAACCTAGTGTTATAACAATCACTCATAGCTGGCACTCTTTGGCAGCGCACAGTGACTGGATAAGAACAGATTGCTCATTGGTGCCTGCTCTGTTCAAGATGCTCTGGCAGCTGTTGAGTGTAGGGGAGGGCAGAGGCCGGGTAAGATGCTCCCCTGCCTGTCCTAATAGGTCCCTCAGCTGCAGTGGGACCACAGACATGGAGACCACTAACTGCACTGCTGCAAGCTGCAGGGTCTTATGGAATAAACACAGTCTTTGGAGTAGACAGACCTGTAAAATGGGGCTAATATCTTCCCAACAGGGCTGGTGGTGAATTAAATTCCACAGCATGTGAAAAGTGCCTAGCACAGTGCTAGGCTCAGCGAACACTGATGTCCCAGAGGTCCAGCAGCATACGGGAACAGGAAGGAATTGTTCCTTTGACCTGGGGAGGAAGAAGGAAGACCCTACAGAGAAGGCAGTATTGGGGCCAGGCGCTGGAGGAGGGTTTCTCTGGGCAGAGGAAGGAGAAGGAATGGAATAGAGTAGGGAATAACAGGCTGTGTTTGGAGAGTATAAGAAGCCTTAAATGGCTAGAACATAGTATTTCTGCATGAAAATGTAGGAAGAAGGTGTTGTGAGAAGGGACTAAGAGCACAAGGTTGCGGTGAGATGGGGGGCTCGAGTTCTGCTCCTTCTCAGCTGTGAATGGCTCAGGACCTCAGTTTCCTCATCTGGAAAATGGGGAGAATAACGTGCCTTTTTTGTTGGGTTTTTGTGAGGATTAAGGGGAAAGCTCTGGCCCGCAGTAAGCACTCCACCTTTAATATATGTAGCTAAGAATATAAGGGAGGCCCAGAGGTGAACCAAGGCCAGGGGCAGATTCTTAATGTCTGTCACTCGTGGTTTGCCTCATTTTACGAATCATTTTGAAAACACTAAGGCTTGTCCCAGCCCCGATCTCTGAGGGGCTTCTGCTCTCAATCAATACTCTTTATTCAGAGTAGGACAACCTTAGTGGGGGTTTTCTGAGCTATTCCCCTTCCGGGTCCAGCAGTGCCCTGCCTCATGCATTTCAGCCTTAAGTTGTCTCATCTTTGCCGTGGAGCTTTTCAAACCATTTGGGCATCTGAATAAATGATGTTACTGGTCGCAGGCCCTATGTATGGTTTCCACTCAGAGAATACATATTTGTTACTGAAACTGCATCCAGTTGGCTGGCAGGTGAGCTTGCTTTTATCTTGGGTTGCCTTTTCTTGCTTGAAGATAAGGCTTTTTTAATTTTTTCAAGACAGTGTATTACTGTACTGTGGTTCAACACTAAAACAACTAAAAGGTAAACTTGAAATTCTTGCTCCTACCCATGTTCCATCCATCCCATTTCTATGCCCCCATCATTCCCAGGTAACCGCTGAGATCATTTTCTTATGCATCCTTCCAAAGTTTTTTCATGCAAAACACAGGCAATTGCAAATATACATTCTTATTTCCTCCTCATTTTCATTTATTGATTTGAGGGGGAAGAGAGAGAGAGACCGATGTGAGAGAGAAACATTGACCAGTTGTCTCCTGTATGTGCCCCGACCAGGGAATGAACCCACAACCTAGGTATGTGCCCTGACCAGGAATCTAACCCGCAGCCGTTTGGTGTATGGGACAACGCTCCGACTAATTGAGCCACCTGGCCAGGGCCCCCATTTTTATTTAAAAGGAGCATAAAAACATACTCTCCTGCACTTTGCCTGGGTATCTGGGAGATCATTCCACATTCGTACAGAGAGTGTCCTTATGGACGAGCTGGCAAAGCCCCAGCAGAAAGTACCTAGAAGGTTAGCAGAGAGCCTTCGGTTGGGAAAGCCGGGAGGATGGGGTGAAGGAGGGAACTTCCCAGCCCTGAGAGGACTCAGCAGCCAGCATGCAGCTTTTTCTCTTTACCTGAGTTACCTGAGTTCTCCCTGCACACCGAGGAATGTCATGTCCCTGGGCAGAAGGACAACGCCCTCCTTAGGCCTGTGACAATTATAGCCTGGGCACCTACCCACAGGGTGATTCCTACCCTTTGAGGCCTGCCAGTCACAGAGCCTCCCCCAGGGAAGGGCAGGTCAAGAGGGAGGTATTAAGGCCGGTGGTCATTGTGCTCCTCAGAAAGGCCTTGGGTCCCGAGGACAGGGCCCACTCTGCTCATCCCTGCTACACCGTGGATGAGTAAGTTTACCCAGACAGCACCCCGAGGTGCTCCCTAGGCAAGCTGACATGAGCCCATTCTCGCAGCTGCCGCCCAGTGGGCAGCAGGCTCGATCACACTATCTCACACTGACCTGAGGTGCTGCGGAGCTGGGCACTGACTCAGCTTCCTTGTGCTCTTCCCTGGCTGAGCTGGTGGTCAGGACAGCTTGTGTTGCTCTGTTTCAGGAGTCGTTCAGCATTTGCAGAATGGCCAGCTGCTGAGGGACATCTACCTAAAGAAACACAAACTCCTGCCCAGTGACTGGTCCACAGACCAGCTGTACTTAGAGACCACTGGGAAAAGCCGGACGCTGCAAAGTGGGCTGGCCCTGCTTTATGGCTTCCTCCCGGACTTTGACTGGAAGAAGATTTATTTCAGGCACCAGCCCAGTGCCCTGTTCTGCTCCGGAAACTGCTATTGCCCGGTGAGAAACCAGTATCTGGAAAAGGAGCAGCGTCGGCAGTACCTCTTACGCTTGAAGAACAGCCAGCTGGAGAGGACCTACGGGGAGATGGCCAAGATCGTGGACGTCCCCACCAAGCAACTGCGAGCTGCCAACCCCATAGACTCCATGCTGTGTCACTTCTGCCACAACGTCAGCTTCCCTTGCACCAGAAACGGCTGCATTGACATGGAGCACTTCAAGGTGATCAAGACGCACCAGATAGAGGACGAGAGGGAGCGGCGGGAGAAGAAACTGTACCTGGGCTATGCGCTCCTGGGCGCCCACCCCATCCTGAATCAGACCATCGGCCGCATGCAGCGAGCTGCCGAGGGCAGGAAAGAAGAGATCTTTGCCCTCTATTCTGCTCACGACGTCACTCTGTCACCAGTTCTCAGTGCCTTGGGCCTGACGGAAGCCAGGTTCCCGAGGTTTGCAGCCAGGTTGATCTTTGAGCTCTGGCAAGACAGAGAGAAGCCCAGGGAGCATTCCGTCCGGATTCTGTACAATGGTGTCGATGTCACATTCCACACCTCCTTTTGCCAGGACCACCACAAGCGTTCTCACAAGCCTATGTGTCCCCTTGAAAACTTAGTCCACTTTGTCAGAAGGGACATGTTTGTGGCCCTGGGAAGTAGTAGTACTAATTATTATGATGCGTGTCACCGCGAAGTATTCTAAAAGCTACACAGTCCAGCACTGACAGAATCTCTGCCAACGCCAAGGGATGGGAAAGGTACGCTTCTAGTTCTAGCCTTTGCTAAGGGTACAAGATTATTGGTTTTCCTGGCTAGAAATTGTGCTTGGGAGCCACACAGATGGTTTCGGTTGAACAATGAGGACATTGTTCAATTTGGGGGCTGTGTGAGTTACTTGATACACAAATGGCCAATTCATAGAAAAAGGAAGGTACTTTATCATAGCCAGACTTTGCTTACAGTGCTAGAATATTTTCATACTCAGAGTTGCCAACCCAAGTGTGTATCCTTTTGGCCTGCCATGGTACTGTACAATGGAGCCAGCCAACCTCCGCCCACATTCTCTCAACCTGGGACCATCTTACCTTGTCCTAGTTCAATGAAAAATTTCCCCAAGTGATTTCTGTAAAATGGGGCTTGGCAAACTTTTTCTGTACAGAGCCAGATAGTAAATAGCTTAGACTGTGTGCACCAAGAGGCCACATACCGTCTCTGTCACAGCTATTCGGTTTCACTCTTGTCACATGAAAGCAACCACAGACAGTACGTAAAATGTGCACAGGTCGCACAAAACAGGCTGTGGGTCAGGCTTGGCCCCCAGGCTGTAGTTTGCTGCCCCCTGATCTGAAATACAGGCTTCACTACAGTTGCACTCTCAACACTTTGAGAACCAGTTAGGTACCAAGAATTATTCAGTGGTGCCTCCAGTCACTTCTGCTGGAAACACCGAATTTGGTCTGTATCTGACGTTGTAACAAAACAAAGGGAAATACACATTGAATCAGAAGGACTCACAGAAACATTATTAGAATAATACTTGATGTTCATGATGATTGTGGTGTAAGTTTTAAGGATGTTTTAAACATTTGTCTGCTGCAGTCTATTTGCTGTATATGCTGAAATTTTTGTATTCCATTTAGTATTTTTATAGTCTAGGAAAATATTTTCTGAGACCCGTTTTAGATGTCCTCTTATTCCTGTGTAATATTCAATTTCCTATGCCTGGTTGGTGTTTAGAAGGGAGCCAGAGGCGGAATTCAGGCACCTTCTTCCAATAAAGCGAATTACGGCTCATTTCCTTGGACAAGCTGTAGAACTGGATCAACTTTTAAACCCTTTTCGTGACTTTCAGAAGGTAAATTCTAACTGATTTTTAAGTACGTTTTGGGAAGAAGTTTGTTACTAGATAATTAAATAATCTTTATAAAGCATTTTATATATTAGAAGCAATTGTCATTAAATCTGTGGTTTCTGAACTTGCGGTGCTAGTTCTGTGCAGAGGGATGTGACGTGCAAGTGAGGTTCCCCAGTGTCATTGTATTCCCACGCTTTCTCTTCGTTTTTACCCAGTGCTGCGTTTAAGTACATCTGTTTCTGTTAATAAATGTTGATGAATACTTGTACGTACCACTAATGGCTTATACCTGTAAGTCATTCTAGTTCTTTTCAAGTGAGTGCCAATGTTTTTTAAATGTATCCTTTTTTGTATAAATAAAAATGTTTTAAATTAGAAAACTCTACAGTACATGTGGGGAGGGGTGGGCCAGGCCCCGTGGCCTGCTATGGCCAGCGGCAGGCTGCACTGGGCCCAGCCGGGACCAGGGAAAGGGACCTGCTTCCTTCTCTCACTGGGCCAGGAGGACATGTCACAGCTGGTGGCCTAGGACTAGGTTAAAATTTGTATCATAGCTGCTTCTATTATTGCTGCCCAGTTGTGTTGTCTCTCAAGTATTTAAAGCCTAAACAGGTTGTTGTGGTTTTTTAGCTCTCACAATAGTTGAGTTAGAGCTGCTAAACACAGCTTGAAGAAAATAAAAGTGAATCAGAAGACATTTTTAAAATTAATTTGCAACATCTGTTGGTAAAGGTAAATATTTTGGATAAGAGCGCACATTAAAAGTGTTGTAGACACAGGTTTTTGCCTCTGTGATGAGAAAAACAACTTTTGAGGAAAACAGCTTTGTTTTTCTGAATTGTTGCCAAGGCATTTTACAGTATGACAGCCCTGCTCACACCCAGAGTCCTGACATTTAGGTAAGAACTTGAGTTTAGGATGCCCATCATATGTTCCCCCTTTACTTTTCCAGGGCACCTTTTAAAATAACCACTTAGAGTTAAGCCTGCAAAAAGTTAGTGACCTTCACTCCAGCCACCTTATAAGTAACAGGTGCTTGCTCACTGCTCTCCGTCTCCTGCTCGCTCGTGATCTGGGTGGAGGACTGCCATTCCCCCAGCTTAGTTGCATCCCCCTAACTGGGATTTGTAAGTAATAAATATTGTGACTACTTCCTTTGTGTGGATGTATTGAAACTGCGCCTTCAATCAAAATGACCCCGTGGGTGGGTTTCACTTCCCCAAAGCGGGAGCTCAGATGCCGAGGGAGCTCCCTGCTGCCTCCGTGTGGGTGGCTTCTGCTTCCTCATTCGACAGGTCATAATCTGCATGTTTGTTTTTCCCCCAGATTTTTAAAATTGTATTTTTAAATTACAGTTGACATACAATATTATACTAGTTTCAGGTATACAACATAGTGATTAGATATTTATATATTATTCTTAATATACCAGCTCCAGCTTCTCAACACAGCCTCCCAAGACATTGGGTGTGCACAGCATTAAAATATCTTCCTTAATATCAAGTTCTAAGACATTTCACTCCATAAACAAACACTGAGCCCCGAGCTGAGACAAGTGGATTTAGTTCTTGCAAGGGTATGGGCAATGGTCTCAGTGGCTTAGTTCATAGCAAGTGTGGGTGTATACATGGGTACATTCAGCTTTCTGGGTTTTATGACTAGATACATGCACACTGGAAAACAAATAATACAGAAAACTTCTAAGTGAAGTTCTCCTCTAATCCCTCCTCCAGAGGGAACACTGAGAGTTTCGACAGATGTCCTTACAGAATTTTCCATGCAGGTGCAGAAATATGTGTAATTTTAAAATAGGAATCATTTTATGTGTATTCTGTGACTTGCTTTCCTTAAAAATATTTTTATCCCTTTGTTCCCTTTAATAATATGTCTTAGACATGTTTCTCATTAACTTGTTTCCCTTAATATGTCTGGGAGATATTTCCACAGTGAGGTAGATGATAGATAGAGCTCTTTTTATAGCCACTGCATAATATTTCATGATATAGATGAGACATTTTTTAAATCATTAAAGATGTAGGAAATTGAAACTTAAAACCAAGGCACTAAAACAGGACAATAAGGCTTTTGATCAAAGTTACAACAGAGCAGAAGCCAGCGAATGTATGTGTTGATTTGTCTAGCTTAACTGAGCAGTTAACCCTTTTCCAGTGTAGCTACAGGTATTAATTAGCATAAGTGGTGTTTTTCTCTAATTTCACTTGTAAACAGAACTGAAGAACTTAATATAATATTGCTATTAAGTCCTTTGGAGGACCTTTGCAGCTATAGCAGAATTAGACTTTTGAAAGATGTGAGTGATTCCTTTTCGGAGAGCTCATAAACACTGATGCAGGAGAGGCAGGGATGCAGGCTTCTGTTTGTCTGAATTGTCAGGAAGCCGTCAGAATAGATTTAGCAGCCCAGGCCATGGTGGATGTGCCTTAGTGTGTTTAAACACAACCGCAGTAGAAAGCAGAAAACAGCTGGGTTTACATTGCTGCTCTGGCTTTGATAGCAGCTGGCACAGAGTTCTGACCTGGGCATCCGTTAGCTCCCATTGCTCGAGGCCGCTGACCTGAGTGTTGGGGTTATACCCCTGTGTGGTGCCTGCCCAGTGGCCAGGTCAGATGACTAATAATAGCTTCTGTTTAAGAGAAACCAGCTGAGTTCATCAGAGTGGCTGGCCAGACCTCCCTAGTCTCTGGAGCCACCTGCCAGCTGAGAGTGGCCTTGATGAGGAGACGGTATATCCCTGAGGGGCTTGCATGGCCCCTCGGCAGAGGGATGGCTTCGGGACAACTGTCAAAAGTAAAGGCACCATTTATCAATCTAAACAACTTTCTGAGGAAGGTCCTATTACCCCTAATACAATTGAGGAAACAGGCTCAGGGCAGTGAAGTCACTTTTCCTAAGGAGAAGTCAAAGCCCAGAGTGTCGCCCAAGTTTATTAATCCTCCCAATAACTCTACAAGACACCATATTTGCTGGTGACTACTAAAACAGTGGGGCTACAAATTTAAAACTAAATGGTTAGGACAATATCCCTACTCTGCTTCTTACCATCAGTGGGGTTTTTTTGTTGTTAAGAAAAAACTGTAAGTCTGACTTTTACAGTGATGTTATATTATACTCAGCCACTAGGGGGCAGCACCAAATATAACTTTTAGCCTTCNTCAATGAATACTAAAACAGTGGGGCTACAAATTTAAAACTAAATGGTTAGGACAATATCCCTACTCTGCTTCTTACCATCAGTGGGGTTTTTTTGTTGTTAAGAAAAAACTGTAAGTCTGACTTTTACAGTGATGTTATATTATACTCAGCCACTAGGGGGCAGCACCAAATATAACTTTTAGCCTTCAGGACCCAGTCTTCCATCTGTAAAGGAGGCAGGGGAGTTTTGTGAGTTGTTTTAATAGGGTGACCAGTCCTCCAGGTTTGCCTGGGACTGAAGGATGAGGAACTAACAGTGCTAAAACTAGAAAAATCCCAAGCTAACTGGGACAGGTTGGTGACTCTAGTGATGTTCGTTGAGACATGCATTAGATGCTACTGTTAGACTTTATAGAAATGGGGAAGGGTGACGGAGTGGCTATGAGGTTTCACATAGCTAGCTACAACACATCAGAGCTGGGACTCAAAGCTGTTGTCCATTAACTCAAAGACCACATTCTTAAGCAAGATATAAAGATGCCTCTCTGAACCATTTGGGATTGTTCGGTCACATGCAACACAAAGCTGATTACAGTGGTTAAGAAAATAAAGTCTTTCATTTCCTCCAGTGGCCCCAAGTCATCAGGAACCCAGGCTGCTATTTAAATCTCACTGGCCAAACGGGGTCCCTTGGCCCACCTCTATTGCAAGGAAGTCTAGGAAAGTTGGTATTTTTATTGGGCATGTGGCTGTCTCAAATCAGGCACTTCTTAATAAGAAAGGGAAAGTGGATGGATGCTGGACAGAGAAGCAGCAGTGACTGCCACATTCTCCAAAGCCACCCATTCAAACCAAAGGTGTGGTAGACACTGCGCCACCCAGATCCCCCACTTCTGGACTTCTTTCCCCAGTGGCTGGGAGTGTGCAGGCTGGCATGCCTCCTTACCAGGGCAGACACATCCAGTGACTGGGCAGGACACAGATTAAAGTCCTGGGGACCACCCTGAAGAGCCATCCCAGCTTCAGCGCTCCCCACAGGCTCAGTTGTGGCTTTGTGACTGCAACACAGCCCACTTCTGCGTCTCTCCTTTCCTTCCCAGTGTTGACCCCAAGAACGCTCCCCAGTAGCTTCCCGCAGGCAGATCTGTCTCAGAGCTGCTTCCTGGGGACTGGCCTGCTACAGAAGGCAAGCAACTCCTAGAGACTTTGCCAGTCTGGGCAGTAAAGCTGGATGGAGCCAATGACTTGAAAGGGATGATGTATCTATTGACGACAAACTTTTCTCACTGCCTTTGAGAGGCTTAGCATTTTATTGTGGAAGCCAAGTAAGCACATAGGAATCGATAGGACTGACCTCGGACAAGCCAGACCTAATGACCACGGGGGCTGTTCCACCAAGACTTAACCATGTATTGAATGCATACCATGGTTGAGCATTCAACTAGCATAGTCTCTATATCTCACAGAATGAGGAGGCACTCATTATTTCCATTTTACAGGTAAGGACACTGAGGCTCAGAGGTAAGACACCTGCCCAGGATCCCAGTCAGCAGTAAGTGGCAGACTGAGGGCTGGAACGTGGATCCTCCTAGACTACAAGGCTCTGCCAGGTCCCGCAGCATGCCTCTGCCTCTACACTGCTCCATGACCCTCAGACGATGGAAGAAGTAAAACTTGAAACTTGGGGTATGGCTGAGAGGCTACCCTACCCCAGGCAATGATCTCCTTGCATTTGTTAGAACATTCATGTTTCTAGCTCCTTTTGTTTCTCTTTTCCCACATTTTTTCGAAGGCAGCATTTCCAAGAAAGTAAGATCATCTTAGAATGGGTTGTTTTAGTCTGGGTTCCTCTGAAAGCAGAGTCTGGGGGGGGAAAGCTTAAGTGTGGGTGTTTATTAGGGAATGTGGTCCCAAGGAGCAGGGGTGAAGGGTGGGGGGATGGAAAGTGGAAGGGAGCAGCCAGAGTGAGGATGTGTGCTGAGCTGACAGGGGGGACCTGGTGCTCTAGCCCATGGGACCTCCGGAGAAGCCTTATGAATTGCGTTTCCAAACTGTTCAATTTATCCCTCAGCTCCCACCCACAGCTGCCTCCCCCTCGCTTCTGTGTTGAACATGCATGACAGCCTGGCCGGTTCACCCGAGCCCCTGGCATCCCAGAAGCCCTAGGGCAGGAAGCGAGAGAGTAAGATGCTGTCAGATCAAAGCCTGCATGGGCCCAGTTG